AAATCAGATTGCTGGTCTAGGAATCTAGGACTCTGGTTTATCTCTCGCTCTCTCTCTCTCTCTCTCTCTCTCTCTCTCTCTCCTCTCTTGCCTTGCGCGTTTGCACAAACATACAGATCAGCACACCGGAGAAATAGTATGGACGCCGAAGTGGCTGAACAAACTCATCAGTGGGGTCGTGGTCCAGGAGCATCCGCATGTATGCAGCCCACCACATCAGCAGATATCGAGCTGCCGTTGCAGACAAAGTCTTTTGAGACACCGTTCGGTATTCTCGACTAGTGGGTTTCAGGGTTGCCACCGAAAAAAGCTTCTGGCGTGCACGGTCTGGAACACCTCGGAATATTAGAATCGTATGTAGCCGTTGGTTTTGTGGATTAGGGAGTTCAGGTTGCAATCATTTCTTTGCATCTAGGGTTCTCTGTGATTCGCACCAGTTGCGATAGTGGGAGAAAAGCTCCTGGAGCTTCTGGTCGCGGCCGGGGCCGTCTGACAAATCACACAATAAGGAAACCGTGATATCCGGTATAATCGCGAGGTGCACGATGTGCATGATATCACCCAGGATGCCTCTCGATTCAATGGTAAGAAGGCAAGGCTCAAATCGATGATGGGTGCTGCCAGGTTGCGAAACGGGTGGAACCCGATGATTTCGGTCAACGGGGAATTGCCATGTATCTGGACGAAATCAGCGGCATCGGATATCAGCCTTCTGAATCAAGATTGGGATGAGGGGTGCATTATAACAAAGCAGGCAGTCATGTGCACGCACATATATGATCCAAGAAGCGTTTCCCTGTGCGCTGCATGCCTTCCGAAGTTTGTATACAACAACTCCTCGTCATTCGGAGCATCATCATCTCCGAACTGGTATGTCCATTGCAGAGCCTGCATATTGGCTATTGCCTCTCGAAATATAGAACCCCAAACCCTGAACCCTAAACCTTATAAGTAAACCAGGACCATTTGTTCATTCGTTGACGTTGCAGCCAAGGGTCTTTGCAGAAGGGGCACATCATCTTCCGCGAGTAGTCTCCTTGGGTGGCTCGGCCCGGCATGCAAAGTTTTTGTTCGGGAACACTACCATATTAGTATCTTACGAACTACAGGCCTTGGCGTGCTGCCGAGCAGCTTTGAAGAGCGAAAACCTTTTTCGTAAACTCCAAATCTGACTGAATTCCATCCATAATGCCGATGTACGGACCGGCTATGCGCTGGCCAGCTAGTCTATAGCGTTCTGGCATATAGGAGGAAGAGAACTCGTTGTTCCATGGATCAGTCGCGGGATATTCCCCGGCACCTGCAACTATAAGTCTACAAGCTAGAAACATTGTTCATAGAACCGATTGAGACCCATTCCCAAAATAAAAAAAGTAGCACCGCAAAATTCAGCTATGTGGCCCAGGCAATTGAACGACCACGTTAGTACCCGGAGTATTGTCTGACGGCAGCTCCCCGAGTGGTAGGCCATATTCATACAGCTCAGCCTCGGTAGGTGTTGCTTTCGGTTCTTTAGGGCTTTGGGTTTTCATGCTCGGTCCTGGAATGCATACAATGTGCGCATGTTTTTGTTTGTGCGTGTGTGTGTGTCGATATGCATATATGTCTACATATATGTATATGTGTCCTGTCGCAGTCGTTGCTGTGCTAGTTCTGATAAATACAAACGAGATGCAAGAATCGAGATTCCATAGTCGAGGAGGATCCAAGAGGAGCCAGGAGTGCAAAGCACTCGAAGTATTGATGTCCTGATTTTTAGGAGTGCAATGACAACAATAATCGAACTCCCAGCATCTCCCATGCCAAGTGGCTGTGCGACTCAGCCCCGTCGCCGTAAAGCCGCAACGGAATGCAAAACCGTAGATCGTTCTCCTGGTATAAATCAGAATCACAAGAAATCGAAATGAAGAATGCGCATGCGCTACAAGCCCAGACCTGGAGGAGTGGATGTTTCTGGTACCAATCTGTACCCGAGAGTTCCGCCCAATACTCCAGAAGCTCCTCGTCCTTACAAGTATTGTTTTTGATTCAGTTCATGTTTGCAAACATATATGTCATATATGTATGTATGTAGGTATGTATGTGTGTAGGTGTCTATGCGTGCAGGTTTGTGTGTATGCAGGTATACGTGTATGTAGCTATGTGGGTATGTAGGTATGTCGGGATGTATGTCTGTTTGTATGTGTAATGTGTATATATATATGTATTCCTATACGCATGCTCCATACGTACATGTTTTGGCTTGGCTACTCAAATACACACAACGGAACTTCCAATGTGCAAGCCAGCCACTCGCCCAATCACAAGTTGCAGACTGTTCGTATTGTAGAATGAGCCGATGATCTCATGTGGAAGAAGCATATGTTGATCAACAAGTCGCGAGGTTTTGCCATGAGCATCTGGATACTCAGCCTTCATTTGGATCCTCAGGACGGCACCGATCAAGGCTATATATACATGAACTGATGCATCTCGCTTCGAATAATGTTTAGCTGAGTTGCAAAAACGGTCGAGGCAAGGTCGACCTCCAAGGTTGACGATCACACCAGCGTGTGAGGGCTCTCATCTTGCCCCAGGCGTTCTGGTTCTCGAAGGCATGCGCTAACTGCAGCAAATCTCTCCTCGACTGATTTGCTGTCCATTAATTAAGGATCAACCTAGTGCAGTACATGTACACGGTCACTTATACCAGTTGGTCATTCATCCGAAATGCGGAACCACAGCATGTGGTAGCTGGCGTAGATTATCCAGCGACTTGTCTAGCTCTTCCAGCGGGACCTCCAATTGAGATAGATAGGTTTGGGGCATAAGGGTTCGAAGAGAGTCTGGTGGGTTGGAGCAAACCAAGCCGAGGAGCCTTCCCATGTGAAAGCTGTCGTAGAATATCATCGCAAGTATTCTGGACATATTCTTCTGCCCAATTGGCAGCCGAATCCGAAGCCATGCCAGTGTCATCACAATACGGAAGCTATGCGATTCGGGGAGCGATAGGGGTTGCTGGTGCCACAACGTTTCGGACTTCGTAGGTCTTTTCAGAATCAAGTGTCCCATTTAAGTTTTGCATAGGGTTCGGCATAGGATGTGGTTTCAATTTCAGCTATACTTGCTGATCGAGTACAACGGGCCAGGGGTTCACGTGGGTTTAGGGTTTAGGCATCGGGGGTTGTTATAGAATAGATGAATACGGTGTACAACATTGGGTCTGAAGTTGTTAATGCTACTATCGGGGATTATGCTGCATTTCGCCCTGTGCAAGCCCAGGGTTCAGACATAAAGTGCCAAGGCTGTTGGGGTTGCTAGGGGCTCAGACAATTCTTCGTAAAGCCAAGCTGAGGTATTTGAGCTGCATGGATCCGACGATCGATTGCGCAGGCCGGGCCCGAACAATGTGCAGCTCAGAGTTTTATTGCACGGCAGAGCAAACGACGATGACACACATCACCCCTAGTGATCCCTTTGCAATTCTTATGCTTGGGATCACGAGACCCATCGGCTTGTTGCATTATGTCACACGCAGCATGAGTTTATGCACTCTATGACTGAGTATCTGCTGCTTGTGCTTGCGAACAAACCGCCCCAGAAATATAGATCACACTCGACAAACTCGAGCAAACACGATCGTACGTACACATCAGCAGCCTTAGGCGCTAGTGCAGAAAGATATCGGCTTAGTCAGCACCCTCCTCCCAGTACTTATTCTCCTCCTCCATATCATCCCATTCCTCATCCGGCTGTCCTGCATCATCGTCCTCCTCCATTTCCTCACCTGCGGCCTTGGCCGCTTCTTTCTTCTTCTTCTCCTCGGCCTTCTCTAACTTTCTCTTCGCCGAAGCTTTGCCTGAGATTGCAAATTGGGTGGTCAGGATGTACAATCGAGTTCGGCATTTGAGGTGTCTCGAGTCTGCAGTTCGGGACAGGATGTAGGGTTTGGACTTTGGTATGCTCTGGGCTTCAGATCGATATTTGGGGTTTGTGGCTTAATGCTTCAACAATAGATTAGGGGTCTGGGTTTTGTTTGGTTCAAATTAAGTTTAGTGTATGGTCTCTGTGTGGCAACACAATCACTCTGGGGTTTTGGGATTAGAGGAGTGTGGGGTCCACAGTGCCAGTATGTAATGCACAAGGAACGTCGTTCCTGGCCCTGCCAAATTCCTTCGGCATGATTCACCTGGATCTGGAAATCCTGACGGGATGAATCGAGTGGCTCGTCTATATACTGATTTGCTCTGTCACGGTTTAGGGTCTGGGGTTAAAGGGTTTAGGCTCCTGAAGCTGGGGCTTGTAATGCTGCATACTCTCCAAGCATTCTTCCAGTGGCTTCGCATCGAACACCATCTGTTGCATCCTGAGCTCGCCGACGGGGTTGTTCAAGCTTGTATGAGTTCGAGGGTTTGGGGGCTTAGGAATCATTCGGGTTTGATTTGGGTTCAGGAACCATTCGGGTTTGGTTGAAGCAGAGAGTCTCATCTCGAATGGTGATGCACTGCTGCGTGATCTTTCCCAGTTGGGCGATCAAGCCCTCCTGGTTTGCAAGACCACAGCCACCCAGGCCGGCGGCAACGTACACGGCTTTATCGCAAAGATCTCGAATCCTGGGTTGTATATCGATTAACACATGAGCGCGCGGCAATACTCAAGACTACTTCCGCGGCTTAGCAACATAGGTTATCGTTTTTGGTATTTCGCGTTATCGTGGACGAGTCAGGCTGAACTGCATGCTTTGTGATGTTGTGCTTAACAACATAAATGACTCTTTAAGGGTCCGGGACTGGGACAAAGGCTTCGCATGGCGGCAGTGGTCGCGGTCGTAGTAGTAGTAGTAGTAGTAGTAGTAGGAGGAGGAGGAGGAGGAGGAGGAGGAGGAGGAGGAGGAGGAGGAGGAGCAGGAGGAGGAGCAGGAGCAGGAGCAGGAGCAGGAGCAGCAGCAAGAGCAGGAGCAGGAGCAGGAGCAGGAGCAGAAGCAGGAGAAGCCGCCCCCGAAACTTCACGATGTCACTTTTCTACAAGCTGGTCTCGGAGTCCGACGGCTCCTGGCCGGCAAGGGCTGCCTCGCGCTTCTTGCGCTGGCGCGACTGCACCTTCTGCAGCCTTTGCTCGTCTCTGGCTGCCAGCTCCTCGAACACCGTCGCCCGCCGCGCTCTTGGCAGCGGTTGCCTCCAGACAGAGAGCTGCTCCCTGTACTTGCGGATGACTTCGTTAACCTGACCGGGCTGGATCGGCCCTCGCCGCCAGGTTGCCGATTCGCCCCAGTAGCCACGCTTCCAATCGCGTCTATCCGCAGGAACCAGCTTCTCCGCGATACTGAAGGTTGCCCGCCGACCAGCTGCCGCAGAGCTAAATAAACAATTCTGAATCGCGACGGGGTACCTGGCATTGCCTGTCGGCTTGGAAAGCCAAGAATAGGTTCGCGTGATGTGATTGTCAGCGTCGTCATCGAAGACCAGCTCCAGCGACTTGTTCGGCTTCTGACCCGGCTCGAAGACTTCAACGATGAATTTCGTTCCGACGGGATTTTGCTTCCATTCTCGTTTGGCCGCCTTGTCCAAGATCTTCTGGATGGCATGCTCGGAATCTGCAAATGCACCATCAACCAGAAGGAATTCATCAAGCCAACGCCGGACAGGGCTGAATATCTCCGCATCGTCCATCGATTTTCCGTGCTTCTCGACGAGGTAGTTGACCCGACATGTCTGGCCTGTCTCCGCCGGGATCCTGTAAAGAAACTCATGTAAGTTCTCGTAAGATCTGAAATGATTTCCGGCGTCAAAGCCAAGGTAAAGACAGTCTAGGGATCCCATACGCTTGACATGCCGCAATGCACGCTTGATGCAGAGGTTCCCGAACATGGCAGACAGCTCAATCACATCCGAAAGAAGAATGATCGCGGTCGTCTGCCGGGTACCTTCGGCATCACATTCAACAAGGTACATCCCGAAGACGGAAATCGTCTTCCTTGTGGACCCATGAAACATGTCAGATGTTTCTCGGTTCGAGATGGGAATTGGCAACTTCTCCATGTAATCGCAATGAGCGTAAGCACAATTCTTCGGCAACTCTGCAGCGAGTTGCCGCATCTGGCGTTGTTCCATCTGCGCGGCGGCTAGATGCCAGGTGTATGCATTCACGATCTCTGCGTGCAGCATGGCCTCCTTGCGCAAAGAGCCTTCAACGTGATTAATGAGCTGAGGATGCGGCGCCTGCTGGCGTACGGTTTGACAACGCCGCTCGTGCACGCTGCCAACGATCTCCACGAAGTGTTCCAAAGCACTGCAAAGGTCGTCTCTCTCGAGCAGTCCAGAGTACTTAGAGATCTTCAGCACCGGAGCCCAGTATCCTGGACAAGACTCCTGTGAACGATGAGGTGTTGCAATGGTCAGGTTTGGAAGTTGGGGGTTTAGGGTTTCAGGGTTTAGGCTTCATGTATAGGGCTTATGGGGTTTAGCCTTATGACTGGTGTATAATTTGAAGACTGAAATCACAGAGAAAAACTGTCTATACTAGTCCGTACCCTGCAACCAGCCACCCTCGAACCCTGAGCGTGACACTGTCAAGTCCCACAACTCCCGTTCCTCCAGCTCGCGCTGTGCTCGAACCAGGAACTCCCGTGTTCGCGGTCGTATCTTGCGGTCATACACCGCGCAGTGATCACAAAGATCAGTGAGCCTGCGGCCTTTCTTGTACTCTGGAAAGTACTTGCGGCGGATCACGCTAAACTGCTTGAAGTCCAACCCGCGCAGACTTGGAGAGCTGCGCCAAACCATTGTCGGCGTCCCGCACAAGTTGCGCACCAGCCGCCTTTCACGCGTGCCTGGTACCAAGCATGTGATGCTTGACGGCGTAGAAAAGTTGTCTAGGACTTCTTTCACAGCTGACTGCCAGAAGGCTGACTTCACCTTAGAAGGCCTGCCTCCCTTGCTCTTCATGTGCCACTTCTGCACTCGCCGCTTGAGTGCAGCAGCAGCATGCTGCTTGTCTTGGAAGTAGTTCAACGACACCAAGCGTTCAGCTTTGAAACCGCTGCGTTCGATCGCTCTGTCCAGGGCACGTGCAACTGGCATGCTGTGGTTCTTCCATTCCTTCCGCATGGAAGCCAGCTCGCTCACAAGCGGCTCGCAGTAGCAATCGCTTACCATGGATGCCTGCACCTCTTGCGAGGCTCCAGGGTGCAACTCCTCGACCTTCTGCAGCAATCCGGAAAGAACTGCAACCGCATCCGCCTTCGACGGACAGCATGGCCCCATAATGCCCATGAGATTGGAAAGCACCTGTCTTTGGTGCCTTTTGCTGAAGTCTGTGAAAGCGGCAGCCTTCGGCTTCCGTTTGGATGCCGCCGTTTGACCACCATCCGCGCTGCCTCTTGCAGCACGTGAAGACTGTGAGGGTGTTGAAGAAGTGGCCACTACGGCTGCGGCCTTGGGGACAACTGCTGGCACCTGTGCTGCCAGCAAGCTTTCTAAGTGGGGCAACAGGTACGCCAGCTCTGGTGTTCGGGCATTGCTGTCCGCCAGAACGGTCTTGTGCTCTTCCCGTACCTGCCGGCTAGAGTGTAAGTGAGCATTTTGTTCTTGTACAAGGTTTGGGTTGGCAGGGCTGGGGATTATCGCCTTAAGTTCTACGTTGTAGCACCCCGGGCACGTGCTGCCACAGCTTGCGCCCCAGCAGATTGTTCACCCAAGTGCGTTGCTCCTTGGTGAGCAAGCCTCCGCGAGCAGCCTGCCCTGGACACGCGTCCGCAGCTGCTTGTAGCAAACGTCGCTGTAAGCCACTTTCCAACAAAGCTTCTCGGCAGAAGCGCTTCAGACCCGGGATCTCTGTCGGAGGCATTTTGGGCAATGGACTTCCAAGCCTACTTTTTGCTACAAAGTCGTTATCGATACGTTATCGATTTCGACACTATGTGAACACCCTGCCAAAACCTGAAAATCAAGGCTCCGTCGTCTGACCCCTTTGCGACACTAGCCACCCCTATGACAGCAAACGCCTGCAGAGCGTTCCTTGGACTTCGCAAGCTGGGGATATGTGAGGATGATGATGAAACTGCTGTGATGGTGAAGAACAAACCGAACAAGATGATGGTGGAAACGGCGATGTTGATCATGGTGATGACGAGTATGCTGCCGATGATGATGGTTGTTCTGACTACGACGATACGACGACGACTGCAGCTCTTTGCTACTACTAGCTGGATGACATACCTGGGGTCCTTTTGGACTCCATCCCGCTAAACATCCAAAACCTGCTGTGGCTCTCAAGCCCCAACACCTCAATAATGATCCTAACGGTAGTAATGCTGCTAGCAAATGTGCGCGAACAGCTGTAGCAGTGGCAGTTATAGTTACGACTGTGGATTTTCTGATTTGGGGCTTTTAAGGGCTTCTCCAATGAAGAGGGTTTCGGTCTTGGATTTCGCAATGGTCGTTTTGTACTAGCACTTTTAAAAGTCCATCCTACTATTGGGCTTGAAGGCTTGGCTGTTTGATCTGGTAATGCTTGCATCTATTGACAAATCCTGGACATTCGCAGACATGGGACGCCTACTCCCCGGCATAGGCTGTGAAAGTCAATAATACTAGCTTGGATTTTTTGGTTTGGCTCTTTGGCTTGAAGTCTTTGCTGCTTGATGTGGCGATGCCTGCATTTATTGGCAATTCCTGGACATTCCTAGACATGGGACGCCTACTCCGCAGGATGTGCTGCGAAAGTCCATAATACTAGTTTGGATTTTTTGATATAGCTCTTCGGGGATTGAAGTCGTTGCTGCTTGAGGTGGCAATGTTTGCATTTATTACTAACAACCCCTAGACATTCGTAAACATGGGACGCCTACTCCGCAGGATGTGCTGTGAAAGTCCATAATACTAGTTTGGATTTTTTGATATAGCTCTTCGGGGATTGAAGTCGTTGCTGCTTGAGGTGGCAATGTTTGCATTTATTACTAACAACCCCTAGACATTCGTAAACATGGGACGCCTACTCCGCAGGATGTGCTGTGAAAGTCCATAATACTAGTTTGGATTTTTTGATTTGGCTCTTTGGGGCTTGAAGTCTTTGCTGTTTGATGTGGTAATGCTTGCAGCTGTTGGCAACTCCTAGACATTCGTGGACATGGGATGCCTACTCCACAAGATGTGCTGTGAAAGTCCATAATACTCGTTTGGATTTTTTGATTTGGCGCTTTGGGGCTTGAAGTCTTCGCTTTTAAAAAACCATGCTACTGACGAAGATTGCTTCATTTGGGGCATTTGGGTTCTTTGCTATCCTGGCCGATGTCTCGCCTTGGTCCCCCAGTGCTCACGCGGAACATACCGTCTGGCAGATGAGATTGCCAGAACAGTGCTTGTCGTTGTGTCCATCAAGACCTAATTACCTAATAAACTCAGATGAGTGAATACAGTAGGCACGACAACAGCACTGCATGTCGAGTTCACGGAGGCTTCACCCCAGAGGCCACTGCATTCTTGAAGCAATGACTTTCGATAAACACTGTGCCACATCACTTCGACGAGCAATCAACACACATACACACGTCACCATTGTACAAACTGATTTCATTTCTGATTTCAGAGGATTTCAGCGCGAGAATGCGCTTCACCTCGGGCAAGTGCTGCAAGACAAAGGGTGACCGACTGATATCGAGCACATACGCGGCCCTATAACAACAGTAACAGCAACTGCCAGCACACTTGCTTGCCCCCGACCCCGTGCTTCTCATCATCCATTTTGCAGAGTGCTTCGCAACTCCGCACAAACGACAATGCTTGGTTTCTGTACGCTCATAATTGAGGCCAAGGGGATTTCCTTGGTACCCTGAGCACGTCTCATTCAAAACATCCGCCATGCTTTGCCGCTGAGCGAGCGTCATCTCCACTCTGACGCAGCTTTTACCCCGAAGCCTACGCATGCACTTGCTCACGGGCTGCTTCTCCGGTGAATCAATCTCATCACGAGGAGCGGCTCTTTTCTTCGGAGTGTCCACGTTGCAGCCAGACGACGAAGCCTAGAGGAAAGGATAGGGGTTTCCATGTTTTGGGGAGCAACCCTTGCGCGTTCAAACTTTGAACCGCGAGCCTCTTCCGGCAAACGTTGCTCATCAGCACAGGCAGGCTCACTAGAACCAACCTGTCCGGCATGGAATGCATGTCAGGGGTGGCTCCCCGCTTCCGCGAACCTACGGCCTTGTCCCCGGACTGGGAACGTTTCGTGGAAGAACTGGCGACACCGACATCCTTCGAAGGATTGGGCTCGATGTTGCTTCTGGGCAATGCATGTAGTCAAGTTTTTAAACCGCAGCGAAAATACAGAAGAGGCGAGAAAAGAGAGACAAACGAGAGAGACGAAAGGGCACGTTTTTTAAGAACGAAGGGCACCCAAAACAAAACAAAGCCACCCCCAACCACCCGGGCCGAGCCCACGACCTACGAAGGGGGAACACGGGCACGAAAAAGGAGAATTTCGAGGGAGAAGACCCGAAAAAAATGATGACAGCCCCGCCAAAGGAGTGAGCAGGGGTCTGGATACCCCCATCAAACGACCAGCCCCAACCCCCAACCCGAGTGAACGCGGACGACGCAGAGGAGGACCACCAAAAATAAAACAAAAATCCATACAAGCACGGTGCCCAATAAAATCCTTCTTTATGGCAAATGCTCCTCTTTCGCGCGTCCTTCCTCGAAGCCCAGCTCCTTGGCCTTCTTCAAGGAGGATATTGTTTTGCCCTCTGGGCTGATGTACACACCTGGGATTGCACAATTACTAGAGCCTAATGCTAGGCCAACTGAAACAATCCCAATCCTTTGCCACCAATCTTTTGCTGAGTAGCTCTTCCACTCACCAACGTTTGCCCCGGCCAGCTGAATCTTCTTCACCACTTGCCACATGGCTGTTCAAAGGCACTGGCAACTTGAGTCCGCGGCTGCTGGAGCAGCAAACGATTGCGTTATCGTTTTTGGTATTTCACGTTATCGTGGCCCATACAAACCCAACATCGACCCTTCAGCATACACGTTATCGTGGCGCACATGAACGGCGAAATTACCCCCAACGATCTGTTGATAATCCTCCCGCACACAGTTTAGCTCTTCAGAGAGTTTAGCCTGTCGCTCACATATCCATGAATACATGGTGCAAATATAAACTGATAGCTCACTTGGGGCTTCGGGGCAACCACGGAGGGACTGAGTCGTGCACGCCTGGATGTCCTTCCGAAACCAGTTCCTGGCAGCAATATAGATGGGGTTGAGGGACCGATGAGATATAAAATATTTCAATAGAGAGAGAGAGAGAGAGAGAGAGAGAGAGAGAGAGAGAGAGAGAGAGAGAGAGAGAGAGAGAATAGAGAGGATAGAGAGAGAGATAAAGAGAGAGAGATAAAGAGAGAGAGAGAGAGAGAGAGAGAGAGAGAGAGAGAGAGAGCGAGAGAGAGCGAGAAAGAGAGATAAAGAGAGATATAAAGAGAGATAAAGAGTTGAGAGAGAGAGAGAGAGAGAGAGAGAGAGAGAGAGAGAGAGAGAGATAGTTGACAGACAGGGAGGGGTCAGAGCGAGGCAGGGAGAGAGCGAGAGACAGTCAAATCCGATCGAATCGGTCCTTCTTGCCTTTGCCCTTCTTGCCTTTTCCTTTGCCCTTGTTCCCTTTCGACCCTAAGGCTGTGCTGGGCTTCGTCATGCTCGCGGCCTTTGCCTGGAGCACCTCGGCGATCGCAGTTCGTTCGGCCTTGTTGTTGGAGGCCGTCATGGTGGCACTCGTGCGGTTGCCACATCGATTGATATTGGAACCTGCGCTATATAATCGTGCAACCGACAAGTGCAGTGTTATAAAAAGCAGCTTGCGGCAACCGAGCAACTCGAAGTTTTGATGGAGTCGAACACCTTGTAGATCATCATATTCTCCGAGTCGGACTGGGGATGCTTCTTTCCGGTCTGACCTTAGCTTGTAGAGGATAGGATGCTGATGGACAGGTTGGGCTTGTGCATGAACGAATATTTCAAACAGAAAGCAATCTGAGCCAAATCACTGTCCAAGATTGACTTAATAAAGGCAGGTCCTCCTGGCAAGTGCTCGTACTTCTCTTTGATGAGGCAGAGAGGAAGCTCCGTGAAGGTTTCCTTGTCTTTTGTCTCCGATAGCCTGACAAACACCAGAAATGCTAGTTGTCAAATGTTTGTGATTTGCGAATGATCAAGTCGCCGAGCCACTCTTCGTAGTAGGGCTCCACGGTGATGGAAGCGAGGTTCTCTCGGTCGAGGAGGAAAGCCTTGAGGAATTCGAACCTGAAGCATTAAAAAGTTTCATCGAGTAAAATGACATAGGCGATCAGACTGAATGCGGGAGAAAGAAACCGAGCCATCGAGTTCGGAGGAGCGGCCGCCCATTGGGCCACGAGCCCTTTCCGTAGGCCTCAAATGAGGTAAGTTTGTTCTCGATCGAGTGAGACCAGTCAATCGAAGTTGTGCAACCCGCCTTGACCATTCTTCATTCTTCGTCTCAAGGATTCATTCAAGGCTTTGCGTTGCTGAAGCGGGATGTCGCCGGGTCCGGTCAGGGCCTGGCTTGAAAGGATTTAAGACATCATGTAAGGATCCAGGGCTGGGGGCCAATATCACGAATTCACGAGCTAGTCCAGACAGTGCATGCATGTGTGCCTCAATCTGCGCCCGCTCCTCATCCGTGAGCGGCCTTGCCTCAGAATAAAAACCCTAAGCCTTAAACCCCTAGACTCCTAGACTGGTGATGTAGGAGGCAAAAAAAAGCTAGACTCGCTAGACCTTCAATCCTGCCCAAGACTGAATGAGTCGATGGTAGAACCGGTTGTTTAGTGTATGTGGTTTAATTGGCTCGGGTTTTGCTACTGCAAACGAGGCACCGCGTCTGGAATTCTCTGGAGATCCACGCTGGTGGCCAATGGTTCCATCTCCACAGGCCCGTTGCCATCAGACATAGTCGAGATGCCAGTGTCCATTCGGAGGATTGACCTAAGTTGCTGGGTTTGGTGGCTGTCTCGTAGAGATTAAAACAGATCATAAAGAATGTGTCTGATTTGACTTCATCGAAGCAGCCTCGTGGGTGTATCTGTCAACGATGGACAAGCAGACCCGTCGTCAAGCGAGGTTTGGGTTTCTGCGCATGCAAACATGCATATTGCATTTTAGCTTCGATGCCAATAACATGAGATGCCACATGTTGTGTGCGTGTAAACTATCAGTCCTCCACCAAAAGACACACGACGACGAACTCTCCGATCGACATCTTCCTCATTCTCGACCGGTCTTTTGCCAACCTCGCTCGCGTGGCCAGTCTGATCTGCGGTGGCAACATCATTGCCCTCGCCAACCGGTGCACACTTTGTCTTGCCCTTGCCATTCTCAGAGCCCTTCTTGCCCTTGCCAACCGGGGCACACTTCGTCTTGCCCTTGCCATCCTCAGAGCCCTTCTTGCCTTTGCCAACCGGGGCACACTTCGTCTTGCCCTTGCCATCCTCAGAGCCCTTCTTGCCTTTTCCAACCGGAGCACTCTTCGTCTCGCCCTTGCCATCAGAGCCCTTCGTGCCTTTGCCAACCGGGTCACAAACCGTCTTGCCCTTGGAAGTCGGCTTACCCTTCGTGCCCTTGCCAGACGTCTGATCCGGGGCAACAGCGGCACCATGATCAAGGGAGGTGTCATCTCTGCTCGGATCCACAGCAGCAGCACCGTTCGAGCTTTTGCCACCCGACTGATCGGCACCCTTCGTGGTACCCTTCTTGCCTTTGCCTTTATGATCCAAGCCACCCTTGACACCCTGATCCACAGCACCTTTGGTACTCTGATCCACAGCACCCTTCGTGGTGCCCTTCTGATCCAGACCGGCTGCGCCTTTGCCGATCTTGCCCTTACAATTGCTCGCCATCGAACTATTGTCGCTGCCATCGGCAGCGGCAGTGGCACCATTCGAGCCTTTGCCATCCGACTGATGCGCAGCACCCTTCGTGGTACCTGTCTTGCCTTTGCCGGTCTGGTCCAAGGCACCCTTGACACCCTGATCAGCGGCACTCGGATCCACGCCGGCACCTTTGGCACCCTTCGCGCCGGTCTTTCCACCCTGCTTGCCTTTACCACCCTGGTCTACGACCCCTTTCTGCCAAGCTCCCTTGGTGTTGCAACCGTGGCCCTTGGGGGTTCCCGTGCCTGTCAGCTTCGGGTCGTTCGGTGAGGTGGTCGGGGATGGGTTCGGGTTCGGCCTAGTTGGCGGTGTGCCCGACTCCAAGCATTCGGTGGTGCGCCGCTTGGGTGTGGGTGTCTCAAACTGATCGCCGCCACTTGAGGGAGACGAACCGCTGGGTTTGCCTCCCTTCAACCCCTTTCCTTTGTCGGCTTTTCCCCCCGGCTTGCCTGTGCCCTTTTCAGCATTCCACGTGCTGGCTCCTTTGGATCCTTTGGTGGGTGTGCCCTTCGTCGCACCCACGGCTTCGTTCGGGGGTGCTTTCCCGACATACACATAATGTCGGGGCTGCACTTCTTCCGATACACATACCAACTGGTCACCGGGGCTGCCCGCGCAGCTGGCTGCGTTGCCTTTCTTGCCCTTAAGAGCACTTCCCTTTCCCATGGCGGGACTAGGACTGATCAGTGGCTGCTGTGGCCTGAGCACTTGATCGCGGCTATATGCGGGCATGCTAAAATATCTAACAGCCGATACACGCCGATACACGCTAACCGGCCGTTTGAACGGCCGCTTACACGCCGATACACGCTGATACACGCCGATAGGTTTTAGTAATAAAACACCTACCAATCAGAACGTCCTGCATTGCCCTGCACTTCTTACAGCCGACCATCGTCCAAGCCTCGAGAAGTGACTAGAAGACTCCCAAAATCGGCTTGTCTAGACTATATACTGGTGCAGGCAGCACTATGCTGACACGGCTGCTGATTGGGCACCTACGAGGTCCTCGAGGCCAGAGTCAGAATCATCATCGCCCACGGTGTCCGTCAGTTCCATATCCATCTCATCGTTGGTATGCGTTGCTGGCGCATGTCGTAGGTGTTTCGACACAAGTGCAGCAACCTAGATCTTCATTAGAATCGGGCAGATCATGGTAAAGACATGTAGACATGCCTTAACTGCAGATAAGACACCTTCAAAGCCATTCTCCCCGGATAAACCCCAGTGCGTGTAAGATCTTTGCCACCGACCTCGAGCACTGCTGTATAGGTGAGCTCCAACTTGATAATTCAGCCCAGGCACCCGTTTCTTGCGACCTCCACCATCGACATAGCCACGGGAGATGTCCAGCTTGAGGAAGCTCTGGATACGACGAAGTTGGCTCCTGATGGTGGGGATCATCGAGGTGCCAGTCTAATCTTTGCGTAAGTGAAAGCCATATACTCATAATCCCGACCCGAACCCATTAAGCACAACCCCCAAAATATAAGTATATTTATTAGTACACATGTTAAAATTGAAGCTCGGCCCCAACACACCCAACTACCCTATAATGCGACTAGCTGACCCTTACCTCTAAATTCGGAAGAGTCCTTGCCGGACAGTGGGGGCGATTTATGCTCGTGTGCAGGGGTTAAACAAAGTACATGATCCTCGTTCTGGCAGGTCAGCTTTGGACTCAAGACAGTTAAAAGGTTTGTGGTGTTTGGCTGTTGTTGCTTGAGGCTGCCAACATTTTTTGAACTATGAGGATTGCGGTTCGGTGGTTTAGTGTGCATATGAGTCTCTACGTACCTATATAGATAAAGAGAGTGGGGGAGAGAGAAACTGAAGAGAGAGAGAGAAAGAGAGGGGTTTCTTCTTTAGGAGCCCATGTATGGTCTAAGTTTCGGGTCCTGTCAAATCAAATTATAATTGAGTGTCTTTGGGCTTCAACTTTAAGGGTTGGGGCGCAAAACCAGGCTGTCCCTCCAAACAGCCCTAGTTGTATGCCCAACAAAGCGGTCCTCCTTTCCCCTGAAAGTTGCTCGTAGAGCTCGCCAAGAAACGGAGCTGTTCCCCATAGTGTAACCTGATGAGATATGCTGAAATCACGATTGAACCATGCCCAAAGGCTCTCCGATTGATTTTTTTCGAGCGAGGATGGTGTTTTCAAGCGCCGATCGAAAAACAAAAAAATTCAAGCGTTCGATTGAAAAAAATCAATCGAGGATCCACATAGTACACGAAGTATAAATTCAATCGAGGAATCGAGCGGGGACCTTCATAAATTCAATCGAGGAATCGAGCGAAGAATCGAGCGTAGGATGTTAAAAATCAATCGTAGACATCGCAAAATTTCGTATTGTCCTGTCTAACAAAACTGATATATATATATATATATATATATATATATTATGTATGTATGTGTATATACATATGCCTATATATATATATGTATACATATACATATACATATATATATATATATACATATATACATATATATATATATATACACATACATACATACATACATACATACATACATACATACATACATACATACATACATACATACATACACATATATGTATATATAGCATATCGAGGCAACTGTGGATTTTATATCTAGATAGATAGATAAATAGATAAAGACATATAAAGATATATAGAGATATGTGAAGATATGTAAAGAAACATAGATCGATATAGATAGACAGATAGATGGATGCATAGATAGATAGATGTAGATTGTTTCAGTGCAGGTTTTGATTTTTGTGGTTCCGGGTTTGATGTTTATAGGGTTTAAGTTGGGGTTCAGGTTATCGGGTTATGCGGTTTCTATATATAGGGTTTATGGCCTATAGGGGTTTTGGGGTTTAGGGGTTTCGGCGCATAGGGTTTGGGCCTATATATTCACATACATACATATACATACATACATACATACATACATGTATATCATATATACATAGGGGTTAGGGCCTATAGGGGTATGGGGTTTAGGGGGCTTGGGGTTTAGGCCGGGGTTTGTGGTTCAGGGTCCGGGGTTTGGGGTTTATGGTTTAGGGCTTATAGGTTATTATATGTAGGGTTTCAAGAGTCTGGACAGATTCTTGATGCCTGGTCTGGATAGACCTTCTTTCTTAGTATAGGGTTAACGAGTCTGGACAGATTCTTGGTGCCTGGTCTGGACAGACCTTTTTCTCTAAACCGTAAACCCAAAACCCTGATCCCTAAGCCCTAAACCTTAAACCATAAACTCTAAACCATAAACCCTAAACCGTGAGTCTGGACAGATTATTAATGCTTGGTCTGGACAGACCTTTGTTCCTTAAACCCCAAACCCTGATCCCTAAGCCCTAAACCTTAAACCATAAACTCTAAACCATAAACCGTAAACCGTGAGTGTGGGCAAATCTTAATGGTCTGGACAGACCTAAACCTTAAACCATAAACCCTAAACAATAAGCCCTAAAACCTTAAACCGTGAGTCTGGACAGATTCTGGATGCCTGGCCTGGTCTGGATAGACCTTCTAGGGTTTATACGGCTCAAGATTTCTGGATCCTGGATGGTCTGGCCAGACCTTTTTATTTACCAGGTTGTTTTGTGTGCTACTTTTTCCTGTCTGTCCAGACATTGATGGTCTTGGCAAACCTTTTTTATTTACTAGGTTGCTTTGTGTGCTACTTTTCCTGTCTGTCCAGACATTGATTCAGCCATGAAATTATATGCTAAACACAAGATGCACCATGCACGACATGTCTGTCCAGACATTGATTCAGCCCTGTCGACTTCATCCTAAAACACAACATGCACCATGCATGACTTGTCTGTCCAGACATTGATTCAATCTTATTGAGCACGTTTTTTTTCTCCTCACTCCTCATCTTCATCCAGATTCAGCCATCCTCGCAGCAGGAGCTCGTAAGCTAAGGCGAATTTTCCACAAATCTTCAGTGGAATCTGGTAGCTCGGCGTTCCTCTATCACATGAAGCAGCGATTTTCTTGCACACCGACATGAAACTCTCAGGGCCATAGGTCCAAGCAAGTCTGGGTGCCATCCATTTACACTGAACATGAAAATGTGCCATCAAGTGGAACTTCTGGGTGACACTGTACCTCTTCTTTCCTCTGTTGAAAGCATCTCTGCTCAAGAAAGTGTAGTGCAGGAGCAATCTGTCAATCGCCTTCTCCATGCTTCTGTGCCTGGTATCCAATATAACAACAACAAAAGTCTGCCGTTTATGTTAACCTTTATGCGGTTTATTTCAATGTTCAGGACTTGGTATATGGGAAAACCACAAAGCTCAAAGTTCAATTCATTTCACATGCATGCAAGCTACTCCTTTCTGTCGAAGCGATACTTCTGGCAGTCACACAGCTCGTAAATCTCGTCCATGGCCTTCACTGCTTCAAGACGATGCTTTCCTGCCACTGTATCCTTGTACAAGTCTGCCAACCCCACAGCCACACTCGAGAACTCTCGTATTCGTCGCCCTTTCACATGGCTCAAGCACGGGTACCCAGTCTGACTTTGAATGTTCCCTTTGCTCAACTTCGGGATTCTGGCAGCAGCTGGGGTCGACTGACTCTCGTACAGCTCCTGGATTCTTGAGTTCAAAGCTCCAATGGATGCAGCGAAGTTCCCAGGTAGGTGGTCCTCCAAGATGTCGTTGATCAAGTTTCCATACAAATGCGAACTGACTCCAAGGTCTAGCATGTGCAACACATCAAGTTTCGGGGACAAAAAATTGATCCCTGGAACTTTAAACAAAGGGTGATCATTTTCTCTTGGATCTCTGGGTTGCTTTCTCCACTCAGCACTTGCTCTGAAGTCATTGAACGGGGCGACAGCATCTGCATCTTTGAAAAGGTTGTCACACTTGCAGTAAGGACACAAATTATTGCTGTTCGCAGTAGGCCATCCGAATTCCTGCGAGAAGAACTCCAAGTCTCCTACCAAAGCCATGACCACAGCTTTGTGTCGCGAGGCCAACAGTGTCAAACTTTCACAGATTTTGTCCCACAAAGCTGGCCACGATCCAGCATTTGCTGATTTCGGCAAACAGCCGATCAGCAATTCCGAGGTCTTAATCGACCTCTTGGTTATCATGCATCGCATGCTTATAATCAAGAGCGAATCTGTCTCGCTGAAAGAGGCGTGATCGCCGTGGAGGATCAACGGAACCGGTAGCGATTCCATCACATTCACGTCTCTCCAGAACTGTCTGCTTCTCCACAGCTGTTCATTTTCTCGAAAGTTTTGGCATTGCCAAAATTCTCGGATCTCATTCTTTGTTGCCTTATATTTCTGAAAAAGCCAATAGCAGCGAATCAAAGTTAAACTTTATCCTTAACCACTGAGAAAACCCTGCCAAAAAAAACCTGCAAAAAACACAAAACTCAAAGCTCAAAGTACTCGCCAAGTTGCAGTGAACATCTCCAGCACATCGTTCTTCTCCAGCACATCGAACCACTCGTGGGGAAGAAGCAAAGGCACCTGCTTCGACTCCACCACGGCACCACCAGATTTCTTGTCTCTCAAGGACACCGGGGTGCTGATCAAGGTACTTTCTGGCGCTCTGCACACATTCAGCATCTTCATCAAGTCTCTGTGGCAGTTCTGAGCACTAGTGCCTTGTCCTCCCAGCATCTGCAAACTCGCCAGGTCTGGGCTGGGTTCTTTGCAGCTCCGAACTGCTGCACTCGCCATTTTTTGCACTTGAGCAGCTGAAAATCGTCCAAAAGCGAACTCTTCCAGTAACAAGAGTCTCAGAGGCGACGGGGCCGGTTCAAGAAGGTTAGCCTTCCTCTTCTTCCCCATGGCCTCTCTCACTTCTCACCTCTTTGGGTGAATCTACATCTTCGAAAACATGCTCGAGCAGCTGCATCAAATATCATCGGATTCCATTCTGCTTGTCCAGGCACTAATGCTTCGAAGTGCAGCAAATTCTGCCTGTCCAGGCATTAATGCTCGGAAGTGCCTGTCCAGGCATTAATGCCTAGTGCAATATATTCTGCCTGTTCAGGCATTAGTGCTCGGAAGTGCCTGTCCGGGCATTAATTCCTGGAAGTGCAGTATATATTCTGCCTG